GGACGCATCGATGGCTCCGGAGCAGGTGGCAGGGCCCCGTGTCCATTAGCAGACCTGAGCCATTAGTGTCCGGTTTCAGGCTCTTTGTGGTCCCCGGGCTGCTGCTACCAGCCCAGGCACAGCTGGTAAACAACCCCCAGAGGGGACTCAGCATTTCCCAGCCCCAGACACTGCCTGGGACCTTCCCCAGAGAGTAAAGTCTCCTACCTGCCACCTCCAGAGCCAAGGGGGAGCGACCCACACAGTAGCATCTCACCCCCATCCCAATATGCAGCCACTCACCCACAGGACTCCCCTTACATGGCTCAGCTCAACCTCAGCCAATTTCTGCCCCTCAACCAAAATGCTCCTGGCACCTTTTGGTGATGGGGGCAATTGGTGCCAGTCTGGGGCACCTGGGTCCCACTCCCACCGCCGCAGCTGGGACAAATCTCCAGCCAGGCCAGGTGGACCCACAGCTCCCCAGCATTTGGATGTGGGTGGAGGGGGACAGGGCAGGGCAGGCTGTGCCTCCCCATGCTGCACAGTGATGCCATATCCCCCTGGGGATGAGAGAGGACTTGGTGGCAATGCTTGTCCTTTGTGGGAGGCAGGCACGCCACCATCCATCCCAGTCCCCCCTGGAGGGGTGCTGGCTGATGCTGGACACAGGACACCTCACCTCCAGCCTCCTGCCCTGGCCCAGGCCAGAGCAAAATCACTCGTAGGGGGACAAGGAGCACGCCCCAGGGGATGGAGGAGCAGGGCTCAGCACAGGCAGAGCCAAGGTGGTCACTGCCAGGGCCGGGGGCTCTCTGCCTCCCCCCTCTCTGCCATGCTCGGAGTCAGCGCACTGCAGAGCAGCCACAATTGATGCCACTGACTTTGGTTCAAAGCTTTGGGCAGCTGCACAGGGAAGCAAAAGCACAGGGAGGGGGGGAAAAACAGGGTGGGGGGGGCACACCCCCATCAACAGCAGAACTGGGGAGGGGGGGATCCAATCTGAGTGCAGTCAGCATGGCTTCCTCCTGGTGCTCGCAGGCAAGATGCCTGGGACATAGCTCAGCCCCTGCCTCAGTTTCCCTCTGGGCACGATCCACCTAGGAGTGCTGCTGCCGGAGAAAGCAGCAGTGCAACTCCCTCCCACCGTGCTTTCCTGCCCTGCAAGCAGGTTCGCAGGGCCAGAGGGAGAGATCCCTCTGCCCCCTCCCTCCCCAAGCACAGCCAGCCCATGGGTCCAGCCCAGGGGTGCTGCCCATGGGTGCCCAGCACCATGTGCAGAGGGGAGACGGCATTTGTGGCCACACCCAGCCTGT